ATAGTCATGACATTCGTGTCATGTAAATCATGACTACCTGCAACGCTCATAGCATGCTCGCAGTCTTTTGGCAAGCTTCACATATACTGAGTTGAGTATTACAGGACGTAAATACACGACGAATGTGAATGACACATCCAAACATGGTAATCATAGCATGGCAGGCGTGTACAGCATAATTTACGCTTGCCTTGTAACGTTGTGTTCATTTTAAAGTGACAAATCAACCTTCCTCATTTGTGCTTCAAATATCATCGATTCCCACAGTACGTGGGATCTGCCTTTTTTTTCCCTCCCAATACGCTCCACCATTCATTATTCTGTGCTCCTCTATACCTGAACATATGTGCTCTTTGAGCCCGTAACAACCGGGGGGGGGTGGAGGGCAAGTACATCAATCAAGGGTGGGCATCGCTGTTCGCAGCCAGTCAAAATATAGGTCGAAGAAAAACAAGTGCAGTGGTGACTTCTTCTCGCGTGAAAACTTAAGATGGCGAGAAAAGAAAGAAAGAAAGAAAGAAAGGAGCGGGTCCTACTGTATTTTATTTCGCTTTCCGTCGAAGACTGGTCTCATGGAAGTCCAGTGATTGGCGAGGAAGAAGCAAGAAGCAAGAAAGTTTTTTTTAATGCTTAGTTTGTTTCCCCGCTAGACACTAATAAAATATACTAGCAACTCCGGCGAAAACAGATAGATGGAATTTCTTCGCACATTTCTTTCTTATCCTGGGTTCCTCTGCCGAATCTGTATTTTTTTCCACAGTGAGTGCATGGTAAAGGAACGAAGCAAAAGTAGCTGCTCCCGGTTAGAAGGTAGCACTGGTAATTTGGGCAAACTGATGGGATCTCAAGAGCCTCCGCTTCCACAGACAAGCGATGTTCGAACTGACAGATAGCCATTTTTTGTTTTTTACGAGTGTTCTAATTCTGTATAGTACAGAGGATACAGGGAAGCGTTGGTGCGAATTCGCAGTGTGAGCCAGCAGCTGTTGAAAGCTCGTTGGGCAGAAGTGCTGTCTTCTTTTGTTTTGAGTTGTAGGCTGGTGAGATGAGCAACGGGAGCTACCAGTGGACACTAAGAATATTTTCCACAATTCCCACTTTTATTCGCCTTTTAAACTTTAAATTCAAGGAGGCAATAAGCTAAAACGTCAATTTCCTAAAATGCAGAACACAGTTGGCGGCTTCGGCTTTTGTCTGCTGCAAATATTTCGACGTGCTTTATACGCGACCAACAGTTAGGCCTAAGTGACAGTAACTTAGAGAAAAACAAGGCATATAAGTTGCAAAAAATCAACAAGGTGGTTCATTACGCTATATTGAATGAGGGGGAAGTGGGCAGAAAAAAATACCGAAGTATGAAAATCGAAACGTTGACTCACACTTGGATATAGCGCACACAACGCAGTTTCCTTGGAAGTGCACTAATGTCCTAATGGTAGCCAATGGATGCAGATGTTAAGCCATAGTTGCTGTTTTGAAGGTTTAAACATATCTATGCAGACTGAACGATGGAGCTGTCTGTCCATGTATCAGACGAATGTAACAGTGAAACGCATCAAGCAAATATGGCCCCACCGCTGTGGTCCAGTGGCTAAGGTTATCGGCTCCTGAGCCGCAGGTCGCGGGATCGAATCCCGGCTGCCGCGGCTGCATTTCCAATGTAGGCAGAAATGTTGTAGGTGCGTGTGCTCAGATCTGAGTGCACGTTAAAGAACCCTGGGTGGTCGAAATCTCCGGAGCCCTCCACTACGACATCTCTCATAATCATATGGTGGTTTTGGGACGTTAAGCCCCGCATTTCAATCAATCAATAAATCAGCAAGCAAATATGAAACCATAAATCCATCAACGTTGTTTGGTTATGCGTTCTGTTAGTTGCTTTATGTATGATCTGTGACGGCCAGCGAAATTTTCCGATGGGGGGGGGGGGGGGGCACTAACCAAGGAGGATTGTTTTCACCCACAATGTAATGCGGCTGGGGAAGGCTTCGAGTGCTCGTGTAGCTTGGATGAGGGCAAGGGCCCGTTTCACACCAAATGACTTTGCCCATGACTTCATGCAACAAGACAACTATGGTCTTCATTTACATAAAATGTTTTCACCTGCACAACCCAAACTTATGAATTCATCATAAGCGTTGTTTTTTAGCATTGCTAATGGCATAAATTTAGTGCAGTAGTCATTTATCTTTCATGTTCTCAGGCTAATGTCATCATGAAAAAGGCGACTGAGACGAAGCTGAATGAAAACGTCTACAAGTAGGAGAAATTTTGAGAATCTAGAATAATCGTTTGCTATAGAGGTTGACCTTTGCATGTCATTTTTTCACCTCGTCTTCTACCCTCGACAGTGTGGACATATGGAGCGCGTTGGCAGAGCTCACTGTCCATGTCTGCAGATTCGGTACTTCTACATCATCAAGCGTCACTCACATAGGAATATCGTAGCTAAAACCAAGCACTGAACATCCGATAAGCGAACTCTTTTTCAAAAGCAGGGAAGTAACAGTAGCCTATAACCGAATTCTCTGAATTGTACACTCGAAGGATGACCCACCCTGCCCTCCAGCCGGCAGCAAGATAAGTACAAATTATGGTCGAGGAAAATCACTCGAAACGCACTTCCTTATTTCTCGCCTGAATGGTCACTAGAAAACAGTTGAGCCAGGCAAAAAATGATTGCGGGACGGGAGTAAATTTTGATTGATCATTTCCCCTTATCGATAGTGCATGTTTGTGTTTCACTTTCCTATGGCGTCAAGGACTAACAAGAGATGTTAAGGACAGTGAGTGAAGAACACTGTGGCTTGATCGATGATAGGCCCGTAATGAGGCATTTTTCTCTTCTTGCAGTGTTGCAGTGTTTCCGGCCGCCAATCTATCTCTCTTTCTTATTTACTATCCGTGGGTACTAGCCTTTTTTTTTCTGTAGACACTTATCATTCATACAAATGGGGCTTAGTCGTTGCAAGGGCTTGAGGCAATCACGACATTTTTTGACATTTTATACTTTCATCTTTCTAATACAAATGCTTTCGGAGATTCATCGGAAGCCCCATTCCTTTTTACAGAAATCCAAGCACCAATCCCTGATTTCCGTTTTGTGTTTCAGGGACGGTGGGTCTGTCCATCCTACATCGTTGTCGTACGTAGCCACCGGGATGCGATATGGGAGATGGCGGTACATGGACTCTTCAGTAACATTTGTACCCTAAAACCCCAATTTCACAGCGGTAACTTTTTTGGGCAAGAATCTTTTAACTGACATCTTTTTTTTTAGATTTTAGTGAGAAATATGAGACCAAACGAATCGATCACTTGGTGAACAACGAATCATGCTCAAGGCGCTTTCACAATGTTCAAGTCGAAGTACAAAGTTGCGCCAGCGGCGCGACATCCCAACGCGATATGCGGCGAGGAAAACTTGTGCACGCAGTCCAAATCTCGGAAGTGGTGAACATGACGTGCGCTCACTTATGGCAAGGATGGTGGAGAACACGCAGAATAGAGCAATGACGTTTGGTGGCCTTCATACTTGCGAGACAGAATTTAGCACCTGCTGGTGTTCCATTGTCAGCAACTTCCGGTCAGCCCATGGCGCATCAATGAGCACTTTGTTAGGTTGAATCACGAATGGGGCGTGTAGATCGTTGTTGTTAATCGCCATAACTGACACCATTTACGTCCACATCGGTCATGTCCCGATGTGGGCGTGGTTGGATCAAGAACATGCTCTTTTTTTGCCGCAAGTTAAAACAAACAAAAAATAGAGAAATTCGTAAATGATTTGGTTTCACGTCTTCTTTACTTACGGTCGCTTTATTTGCGACAAAAGCACACCCTTGAGCAAAGACCAACTAGGCCAGCTGAGGCTTCTGGTGGTAAGGTCAACGGAGAATTCCCACGTCGGGTCATTCTAAAATCATTTGGCCCCTCAAGCAACGCAATGAAAGCCGGTTGCCTGTCACGCGCACTTTCTTCGGCACTAATGGAAGTTACGGTACAAATACCTTTCACTTTGCGAAGTCAGCTATTGATGGTAGATACATTTCGCTTGATTTTTTTTTGTACTCAGCATCTGAAAACCATATTAGGATGGTGAAATAAGGTGTTTCAAGCCAGCATTAAAACTATATTGTCGCAAATACGACAAGCGTAATGTAGAAATCCAGAAATGCTTCAAAAGAATTCTTCCGTTACACCTGGGTTGTCGTTTAGTAGCAGATTACACCAATCCCCGTTTTGTTGTAACATTTTAAAATTTATCTGCGTGTGTATGGGGTCCTAAGAAAGTTATTTTTGCTCAGTCGCCGCTTCCATGTCTCCAGTTGGATGCTGAATTAAAAGTGCATTAAAGAGAAACGTGTTCTCTTATAGTACACTGATCAACTGAATACGCAACAAGAAATACTATTACAATGTCAATTAGTGAATTATTACTAGCTGGTGAGAGTTTAACCACAATTAATTGGCACCGTATGTTCAGTGGTGTACGCTGAGGATACAGGGAAGAAGTTACTGCAAGAACAAATGCATTGTTTCCTTGGCGAACGCTCCTAATGAAACGGCACGACGTATTTTTTTTTCCTTTGGCAATTCCGTGTTGTGCCCGGTAACCATTCCGTCTCGTTTTTCGGCTTTGCGTCACCGCGAAGAAAGGCGTAACGCCGTGGTGAAAGCCACTGGGGCAATGAAGAAAGCAGGAGCAGCAAGAAGAAGAAGAAGAAGAAGCGTGAGGTCTCAGGAAACAAACAAACAAACAAACAAAGAGAGTGTCAAGGAGGCCACACGCAAGCGCCGACCACATAGCGGCCGAGAAATCGTGGTATAAAATGCTTGACCGTGCTGCAGAGCGTCAGTAACACTCTGTGCCTTCTACACCTCTGTGCACGCTCCGAGCAAACGACACGTTGCGGTAGCACGTCTTGGAAGCAAGAATCTGCGGACTTGTGCGTGAACGTTTCCGTGCGGAAGAGTTTTACTCGCTTCCTCCACTCACCATGGGTTCGGCGGCCGCTCTATTTGCTCAGGTAAGTGCACAGTGCTCGAAAGCAATTGGTATACGACTGCAGTAGAGGAATGCCTAGAGCATACACCTATTGTCGAGGCCATCTTAATATATTCGGCCGTATACCCAATGATTGTACTGCGTGTTAAAAACAGGACGTGAAATTAGGACCATGTTGGTTATATGTAGCCAAAGCATTCCAGCGATATATAATATCCACAGCGATCTGCAAATCTACGAGTACACAAGGTAGAAGAAAGGAAGCACTTGGCAGAAAAGCGGTAGTTTGAGCTTTCCACGACTGGGTTCTTATTCCACTGAAGTATTTCCGCATTTTACCAACTAGATCTTTGTCGCAGTAGCAACGAAGCAACTATAGTTCATTAAAGTTGCGAGTGTCATAAGCTGACGCTCCACCACGAAACTGAAATAACAAAGGTACATATGCCTTTGTTGTTTCAGTTTTGTGTTGTAGCGTCAGCTGATGACACTCGCAACTTTAGTGAACTATAGTTTCGCTGTTGAAAATTTGTCCAATTTCAGTGTTTGGCTTGAAGACTTTGAATGTCAGTTTTCAAAGATATTGATGCCAGCGATTGGCGTACCTGGCACCCAGCCTCCATCAATACCGACGTCGATAGAGTACTGAGGAGACCAATGGAGGATCCAGAGCGCAATGCTTGTGTTAACTGCTACCTACAATCAGAGGGGAACCCGTGCGGATCACTGTCACTTCACTGTTAAGCACCATGTTGCATTATCACAGAGCACAATTCATAACGATCTGGCTCAAAACGTGCTAAAGAAATCAAAATTTTTTTACACACTGCATAGTTGTTAATCATGTGTGGTAACGCACTTTGCAGTCGTGCAAATAAAAAAAACGTGCATAACTGACTTCTTTATATGGTTTTATGTTGCTGATTGTCACTTTCACTGGCATCAAAACGTACCGTATCAGTTCATGCAGCCATCCTTGCGTAAATTGGTCGGTAAACACAGTCACATGGAAAGGCAGCTTTTTCGTCATTCCGGGTAGCCATCTTCAAGTGATGGCGTTTTCTCAAAGAGGTCTGAAGATTAGTTATTTCGTAAGTCTAAATTGTGCAAGAAGTAGCGCCAAATTGCATAAATGAAGAAACCATGAAACATCATTTGTTGTCTCAAATCATGAAGTAAAAAAATTGGCAGCATATCCATGGAGTGAATGATGGAGAGTGGGGCGAAGCATTCGTCCGTCCATGCGTCCGTCTCTGTGACCGTTCATGCGTCCATTCGCCCGTCCGTGCTTGCGTCTGTTCATGCGTCTCTCCCTGCATTTGTCCATGAATCCGCCCCTGCGTCCGTTAATGATCCATCCATGCATCTGTCTGTGTGTCCGTTCGTCCATCTATTCAACACTCCAAGTACCACTATCTCGCATCTTTTCATGATAAATTCGATGGATGGATGGATGGATGCTATGAGCGTCCCCTTTATAACGGGGTGGTGACAAGTATGCCAGCAGGCTCAACAAAAAAAAAAACCTTTTTTTCTTTTTATGTTGGCCTAATGCCTCTACTTCGATAAATTCTATCTTAATGGAAAAAAAGGTAAATTTTCAGCTTAAGTTCTCTGCCATTTACGGCACACTGTCCATATTTTATTTTTCCAATATTTATTTTTGTCCTTTCTCTCTAATTTTCTGCCACCAATACTCTAACCGTCTCTTACTTATTTCAATCGCGGGTGTGTTCAGCTTTCCATTGTTGTCCCTAAAACCCAAGGCTTCCTGTAGGCTCGTGCCCAAACGTACACCTGGGTGGATATCTCCACATTCAATCAGAACATGCTCCGCCGTTTCCTTATCTTTCCCGCAGCATGTGCATTGTTCTTCTTCTTTACTGAATCTTGCTTTATAACTACGCGTTCTAAGGCAACCCGATCTCGCTTCAAACAGTAAAGCGCTTCCCCTTGAATTATCGTAAAATGCCTCCCTCCTTATTTCATTTTTGCCCTTTCGGTAGTTACTCAAAGCCGGTTTTTTCTCCATAGCTGCCATCCAGTAAACCCTCTCCGCCTCCCTGACTTTTCCCTTAACGCTCTTTGTTGACATACGGCTTACAATACCAGCCGTATACTTACTAGTGAGTCTTCTAGTTCTTTTTCTCCACTGTGTGTCCACGCTCTTCCTATACAAATAACGGAACACCTTCTCTGCCCATCTACTCTCCTTCATATTTCTTAGCCTTTCTTCGAACCTTATTTTGCTCTGCGCTTCCCTCGCCTCAAAACCTGCCCACCCCATATCGCCCTTTACAGCCTCGTTTGTCGTCTTCCCGTGAGCACCCAACGCGAGGCGTCCCACAGTCCTTTGATTTACATCCATTCCAGCTTGCACCTCTGCCCTCATGCACACCACTGAGTTCCCAAAAGTAAGCCCTGGAACCATTACACCCTTCCACAGACCTCGAAGCACCTCATACCTATTGTATCCCCACAACGCTCTGTGCTTCATTATTGCCGCATTCCTCTTTCCTTTTGCTGCCGAGGCTTTTTCCTGTACCTCCATGTATCTATCACTCTCATTTACCCATACTCCAAGGTACTTGTATTCACTTACCCTCGGTATTTCTTGGCCTTGTATGGACACCGTCTGATCACAGGGATCATTGAATACCATCAATCCACACTTCGTTACACTGAATCCTAGTCCAAGAGCTTCACCTTCCCTTCCGCATATATTCGCCAGCTGCTTTATATCATCTCGACTGTCCGCAAATAAGACGATATCGTCCGCATAAAATAAACCTGGAAGCTTCTGCTCAATCATCATGCCGCCCTGTTTGTGTGACAGATTAAAACCAATGTTGCTACCTTCTAGCCCCATATAGAAGCACCGCCATCCAGCGGACAATCTAAGGACTAAACGAAAGCTGGCACACGCACACTTTCTTACGGCTTGCGCTTCGGGTCTACTTCCACCTTTAACCACCTCGAGTTTATGGTATATACTAGTTCACTGCATTCATGGCACTTCGTCTTGCGCTCGCTAAACCTTTCTAAAACTAAGGAGGTTACACCCAGCGAGTATAACGTAGCAACCCTTTCATGTCAGATAGTGCTCAATGTACATGGCAATGGCTGCTAATGAGGATCGCAGCGTGCACGTTAACTAAAAGCCGAATGCTCCTGTCTCTCTTTTCCCATAGCAGCCATTGGCATGTACATTGAGCATTATTTTTTATTGTCCAACAACGCACAGAAGAAATCCCTCACCGGCACCACCTTGGTGGTGAAAATGTTATACTTGTTACACACTACAATGGCTACGAGGGACAAACGGGTGCCGCTATGAAGAGCTTTACCCGTAAAACAAAGGTCAAATAGAGAAGGCACCTGAATATTTTCTCTGTGTGCTATACCCCTTTCAGGCCTACCCTATGGGTTATTTTGTGCTCACAAAGAACTGTTTAGCATACCACATGTACTAGCCCAAGTAGATATCCCGTCAAACACCAGAAACTGTTCTTAGCGAGGTACCGAGCACTTTTTTTTTAAACATCAGTGCCGCGTACAACACCACGTGCTGTCTAAAATCTCTTGGTCAACAGGAAAGCAAAGTTGCACTACTGCTGCAGATGCTAGACATCTTGACACACAATCCGATGCGTCATTGTTTCATGCGAGCACCACGTATTCTGGCATAAGCTGCACGAAGACACTTAGCCAGACAACTGCCACAGGAGTGTACGAAAACAAAAGTGGCATTACGTGTTCTTTATGTTTCGACGCTGTAGAAATAGTGAAGAACAGTCGATTATCCTGTTTGCGTGAAATATAATTAGCAATTGTGCACATTTATCTGCCTCCGCAATCGTTGGTTAAGCAGCACTAATCTAATGTGTGCGGTTTACCACGGTGCCCAGCGGTTTATCCAATAGCGGTGCTTCTTGAGAAATACTTTGTTGCTCCTTTCATATTGCAATCAGCAGGCCAAACAAATAAAGGTTCCCGTGGTAACAAATATTGCGCTCTTTCTTTGCAGGCACTCGCGCTCTTCATGGTCTTCATGGCTGCAGCTGGCGGTCAGCTCGGATTTGGTGGCGGATTCGGCGGTGGACTCGGTGGAGCCTACGGCCCATCTTTGGCCGCCACATTCGCACGTCAGGAACAGTATTATGTGAGTGAATTTGCATACATTTGAAGGCGTTATATAAACTGCTTCTTAAAGACAACATACATTGCGCATGGCAACTTTTGAAAGCTGCGGAAGCATGGCTTGCGTGATACTACTGATTCATTGAATCACAAGACGCAGTGTTTATGAGACTTTTGTAGAAAGCAATGCATACGTTAGCGGCTAGCTAGTGGAACATGGGAGAGGCGTGATGATGATGATGATGATGATGATGACCTTAGCTGAGTCAAATATTATTTATCTTATGCTGTGCACCAGATTACCATTTCTGAGTCATCATAACCACAATAAAATATAAAATGACGTGAAGATTGTGGTCATATCTTTTTTAGTGAAACCGTGGATCGTACTCTACCATGTTGTTCTAAAGAATACTATCACTTAAAAGAGCACAGCTTCACTGTATAAAATACGATCTAAATTTAGTAGTATCACAAGCGAAGCGAAGAAAGAGGCACCAAAGCCCAGCCGCGGTGGTCTAGTGGCTCAGGTACTTGGCTGCTGACCCGCAAGTCGCGCGATCAAATCTCCGCTGTGGCTGCTGCATTTTCGATGGAGGCGAAAATGCTGTAGGCCCGTGTGCTCAGATTTGGGCACACGTTAAAGAACCCCAGGTGGTCGAACTTTCCGGAGTCCTCCACTACAGCGTCTCTCATAATCGTGTGGTGGTTTTGTGACGTTAAACCCCACATATCAATCAATCGTAGAGGCACCAAAAGGTCCACGAGTGCTGCATTGAAAGAGATTAACTTATGCGTGCTCCTCTCACATAAAAACAAAGAAAGCTCATCATGTTCGTCTCAGCCATATCACATGTTTCATGTTGTCCACAACGTAATATCAAAGAAACCTGCGTAGTCATTCGTTTTGTAGGCAATCAAAAATCACTCTAAAAACGTCAGTAATTATGTTTGGGGTCCTAAGACTTGTGATAGATACAGAGAGCATGCAATCCTAGTATGTTAAGCTCCCAACTACAGAAAGTTCAGCGGCGTTCAGTGGTGTCTTTGAGTAAAGATAGCTCTTAAACAGGACAATTGGCGTTTCCAGTGTTCACGGTCAGAATAAAAAAGTCAGCTTATTGTCAGCTGATGGAGAACTACCCTTTGTTTTCCAACAAATATTAAAATCGTCCATCTCTCCTTTAGTACGCGTTGAGTCATACATTTGCGTTCGTATGTCTGATAACGTAATTCCTTTCAATGACGGAGACAAGATACTGAATTCAGAAGCAATGAGTAGCTGATGTAATAATACTGATTGTTGGCCTAGTTGGTATTTACTTAATGGCATGATTTGGCCGCAAAAGAGACACACACAAGAAAAGGAACACTCAAACGGCCGCCTGTGCTTGTCGTTTGAGTGTTCCTTTTCTTGTGTGTGTCTCTTTTGCGGCCAAATCATGCCATTAAGTAGCTGATGCCCATGACAAGTATAATTCGCGGACAATATGTATATAGCAAGCACGAGTTAAGCCAGTTTAAACCAAACAACTCGGTGACGCCATGTGAAGTATCTTTCCGATGATAGCCATCGGGAAGCTGCTGTCTGTAATCCTGAAAATTAAGTTAGAAAAAGGTTATTCATTTGCTTACAGTGCTCATAGATCAATACAGGATGTAGCAGTAAACTATAGTCTCCTATGCAGCCACCGCAACCGTACAGCTTTGGCTACGACAACCAAGACCAGTACGGCACTAAGTCTTACCACAAGGAACAGGGTGACGCTTCTAACTCCAAGACCGGCACGTACGGGTATTCGGATGCCAACGGCATCTATCGCCAGGTGAAGTACGTCGCCGACGCTGGTGGATTCCGCGCAAAGGTCGACACCAACGAGCCCGGAACTGCCCCTGGTGCCACTGGGGATGCCCAGTACAACGCCAACCCCCTCCCTGCTGGCCGGCAGTACCGTATCATCGGTGGATCTTCGCCCTTCTCCGCGCCCTACACGAGCGCATCCACCTATGGAGGCTTCGGTTATGGTGGTTCCTGGTCTGGATAAGCGATTGCTGACATAGGGTACACTTTGTTGAATAACTTCTGCGGCTTCTGACCCTGTTCTTTAGTCAATTGAACAGCCAAGCAAGTCGTTGAAGAACTTGAGCCTTTCCTTAGAAACTATACGTATTCAAAATGTAATAAATATTTCAAAGTTTCATATATTGCCTCCATATTAGTTTCGCCTTCTTTATTCTGCTAAATATATGGCATATAGCAAATCAACCAGCATTACTCAAGATAAGTGGTGTATTGTAAGAATCATATTAGTGAAATCAGGCTTGTCATACGTAGCGTTGCACAATATAACAGTTTTTGTACAGTTCAGACACATTTACCATTTTTATTCCTTAGTTAGAGAGCACTATAACAGATATCTCACTTTTATTGTCAGTAGTGGTTCTAACTTTCGAGATTGATAAGTTTTTAATCAAGCTGCAAGATTTACTTCTCAGCTGAACATGAAATGACCGTTGTTGAAGCAGGGATATATATCAAGAACGCTTACAATAACATTTCCTTGACTCGACCCTCTCTAATTCAGAAAATCGGATAATTTGAACGTGCTTCTTGATCCTGGCTGTCATAAACATTGTTTATTGGCATCAAACACTCGTTAGTTTAGTCATATTTTACGGTAAGCCGGTCAAATTGGACGATATTCGGCGCGTACTGAGCGCGAAATGCCGCCAAATGGCATTCGCAGAAGATATGCTTAACAACGGGCCTCATAGGAAATGCTCATGCATCCATCAGCCACTTCATTTTGGCTTGGGGTAACGCACGCGCACTGTCACAAAGCTCAACCATCGTGAATGGACCGAGAACCGGCGCATTCAGCATGGTATGGCCGATGGCTAACCCTCGTGAAAACAGTCGGACTTGAAGAGCTTCTGCAGGTGTCTGCATGCTGGCAAAACGCTCGCGTGCTGCACAGCTGAACAATGATCAGTCGCCGATGAATTTTAAGGCGAAAAAAAAAAGTATTCGTCGCCTGAGCGTGGCGACGTTAGTGGTTGCGGTGAATTCATCAGATGCCGTTCCGACTGAACAATACGCACTTTCACTGTTCCAGATATAAGCTTATCAAGCCTGCTACTGGTGAAACAGATGGCTGCGGCGCTACGACTGGTGAGCCAAAGATTACGGGTTCGATGGACGCGAAATGGTAGAGGCCCATGTCACCGCGCAATGTTGATTGATTAGATATGTGAGGTTTAACGTCCCAAAGCCACCATATGATCATGAGAGACACCGTAGTGGAGGGCTCCAGAGATTTCGACCACCTGGGGCTTTTATCATGCACCCAAATCTGAGCACACGGGCCTACATCATTTTCCGCCTCCATCGGAAATGCAGCCTCCCCAGCCGGGATTCGATCCCGTGACCTGCGGGTCAGCAGCCGAGTACCTTAGCCACTAGACCACCGCTGCGGGGCTACCGTGCAATGTCAGTGCACGTTAATGAACTCCAGATGGTCTAAATTTCCTGAAGCCCAGCTTTACGGCCTCTGTCAGAACATTTTGAGACGTAAAACAACACATATTGTTACGAGATAAGCCGACCATGAGAAGAAAGCTCGGCTTTATTTCTGGTTTCTGTACTACAAAATGGCGGTCACAATGACGTCAGTACTTACTCCATATCATAGAGTTTCTCAAAATTAACTAGAGGGCATTCTGGCACTGTAATCGTTCAGCGACCATGTGAATGATGGGTAGTACACGCATTTGTCTAGTCTTCGTACTTGCGGTCGGCGAATCGTACTTGCGGCTTCGTTTATTGCTGTGTTTCGATTTTGTTTTGAAAGAAAGATTCAACGCTTTTGAACTTCGTGACCCAGTTTGGAAAGGTAATTTGAAAAAAATAGGGTGCTAAAGCGCAATCGCTGAACATTTGCTGATTTTTTGTTTCGTGACAAAACAGCTTCAAGCCACACGAACACACACGGAGCCAAAGGCAGGCCAGAAGTATGAAGTTTAGACAAATATGTGTACTACCCATCATTCCCATACTCGCTGAAGCGCCGTGCATTGCAGCTCCCATAGACACGAGCGCCAGAGTTTCCTCTAGTGTATATTGGGAAACTCTGCGCTCCATATAGAAGACAAGATTAGAGCACGTTTCAGTTTAACTAAGAGGCGAGTGTCTGGAGCTGTTTGCCGCAGCCACATTACGAATTGCGAAGACTGCGGCTTTAACGCTGCTCTTGGGCGGAATAAGCAATACATTTACCATTAGGTTGAAAAAAGCGCAGTGATGTAACTTGAATTTTTTTTCTCCTTTCATTGCCCGCCATGGTGGTCTAGTGGCGAAACTACTCGGCTGCGGACCCGCTGGTCACGGGATCGAATCCCGGTTGGCGGCTGCATTTCCGATGGAGGCGGCAATGTTGTAGGCCCGTGTGCTCAGATATGGGTGCACGTTAAAGAACCCCAGGTGGTCGAAATCTCCGGAGCCCTCCACTACGGCGTCTCTTATTATCATGTGGTGGTCTTGGGACGTTAAACCCCACATATTAATCAAATTCTTTCCTTTCATTGATACTTTTGATAAGTCGGCATTCGCACAATTCGGAGTCTTTTCTCGGCCCCTTGAAATATCAATTCACGAACTTTTACTGTATTCAATTTCCAAGCACTTTCATAGAAAACTCCAACGCTTAGCGGTTCTCTAGGCGCAGTTTCTTCGACCATCCTACCTTGTTCCTCAGGGTCGCCATAAAACGCCAGGGATGCTGAACGCAGAATGCGGAGAAGTTTGCACCGCGTTATTTCATTTATACCTAACAATTATGAATAAGCTGGACTGCACGTTGCACTCAGTAATGCAAATTTCGATACAACCGTTATTTTACGATTTCCAGTGTTGATGGAGACAAGCCCTTACATCTAACCGGTAATAAATAATCAGGGTCAAACCACGAGCGCGGAATAAAAAAGTTACTGCAGCAAGCGTTTTCATATGTAACGGTTTTGATTATTGTTCCTCCGATGCGCTTTTACGCTGACTCCTTCCCCAGCTGTGTGATCGATGAGCGGGCCGTTTCGATAAATCTGTGCCACATCTCTTATTCAGAGATTTGAGCGCTTTGGCATGCAAAGGAAAAGGCGGTAGCACAGGGCCATCTCTCCACGAGCTCCCATAGCAGCAGTTTAATCGTTGCCTTTACTCACCAACAGATGGCAGGACACACTAAACCTTCGGACACTATCGCGGTAAATTTGAAATACTCAAAACACGCTGTTCTTGAAACACGTGACGAGGCTCGTTGGTGATACATCCTTAATTTTAATATTGTAGTGATACACTTGACGAGAACAGGGCAGAAGAGAACATGGCAAGTCGGACCGACGCTGTGTCATGTCAGTCTCCGTCCTGTCATTTTCTCAGTGTTGTCCGCATAACGTGTTGCGCTGCAATACCTTAATTAGGGACGCTGATGTTGACATTCATATTGTCGCGACGTCAAGAGAGAGGTCGTACTCGAATACGCTGAGAAAACAGCAGCGGGTCGGTCTTTTTGTTAACCACGCGAGAAAGAGTTCCTCATCTTTCTCGTTGTTGCGTTCTGCATAAAAGCGTGCAGATACGCGTATGCACTGTCGCCTTCGTCTTTTTCGCGGGACGCACGTGACAATATTTATTTATTTATTCAGTACATGCACCACCTTTGCAGGCCTTACAGCAAGGGCGGGGGGGGGAGTACATACATCACTAGATAAATTTGTCTGTTATTTTAGCGTGGTAAACATCATCATTACATTGAATTCCTGCATTATTATTATTATTATTATTATTATTATTATTATTATTATTATTATTATTATTATTATTATTATTATTATTATTATTATTATTATTTGCATACACAAGGACACTAAGGACAGAGGGAGAGAGCAAGCTGGCAACTGCCACCTGGAGGGGCACAACGCCTGCTCACTCTCTTGCGAAGAGGGAAGAAACAGAGAAAACAAGAATTAGAGGGGAGAAAGAGGAAAGCAGATAAGGAAAGGAAACAAAAAGACGTAGACTTTGACGAGTATGTGTAAAAACATAATAAAAATATTAAAAACGCCTATAAACGTGTGACCAGGCTCGTTTGGTTCATAAATGTAAGGAGAGCTTAGTGGGCCTGGTCGCGTCTGGAAGCACTACCACTTGGAAAAAGGTAGTCGTCTAGGGTTGCGCACTTGAGTCCTGGGAATTTATATTCCTTAATAAGCAAAGATCGCTGCGTAGAAAATGTGGCACAGTGTACTACGAAATGCTCAAATGTTTCGCAGGAGCCACAAGCTGCACACAACGGGCTGTTCACTCGCCCTTGACGGTGTAATCGTTCACGCACCAGCACAGAGACCGCTCTTAGTTTGGACAACAGCGCTCGGGAACTACGAGGCAAGCCACGGCCACGAACACGGGGAGGGAACGATCCATTCGCCACATGCTGTTCTGGGTGCTGCTTTAGGAGGTGTCGGTGTATTAGCATACGAGCGTTGTCCATCGTACATAGAATTCCCGGACAGTCACAGCCATCAAGGTTGCATGACGAAGCAAGGTGATCCGCTTTTTCATTGCCCTCAATACCCATGTGCGAAGGTACCCACTGTGCAGCTAGGCATACCCCACGTGACAGAATATTGTTAATGGATTCCATGATGCTGCTCAGAAGAGGGCTGTCGGTCTCCTTGCTGGTGAGTCTGCTGAGGGCACCACGAGAGCCACTGAGTATGACAACCTTCGATGCTGGTAACCCTTCTTGTACGTACTTAAGGGCGACATCAATTTCCGCTAGCTTGGCCATCACCGACGATGAGGGGTGTGGTTTTTTTAAACAACCGCCTGAAATCGGTTAAAGGGCAGAAGAAAGCTGCAGAAGCGCTCAGGCGATCGCTGCGTACAGAAGCGTCCATAAATACTTTTGCATAGTCTTCAAAGTTTTCAAAAAAGTGTGAATGGGCTGATTGGCATAGTTCCGAAACAGGTTGGTCACACTTTTTGCGTATTCTTGGAATTTATTGATGGGTAGAGAAGGCACATGGCCTGTGCTCTGTCGATGTTGGCAAGTCAATAATTTCGCCGGAATCGTCAGTAATGTCATTGAACAAAGC